TTTTATATATATAAATGGCCTAAAATCCTAGCTACTCAGGAGGCTGAGATCTGAGGACTGTGGTTCATAGCCAGCCTGTGCAGGAAAGGCTGTGAGACTCTTATCTCCATTTAACCACCAGAAAACCAAAAGTGGCACTGTGGCTCAAGTGGTAGCACTAGCCTTGAGCTAAAGAACTAAAGGACAGTGCCCAGGCCCAGAGTTCAAGCCCCACAACAGACCAAAAAAAAAAAAAAAAAAGGCCAAAACATTGGGCTACCCACTTACTATCCTCAAACAGTAATTAAAACAACAAAACAAAACCATCCAAAATTCTTCTTGGGGTCTCAGAGGGTTAAGCTAATACCACATGGCTAGTGTGGTTAGACTGCAAATAAACTCTGACCTGACCCAATTCCCTCACACACACCCAGTGGTTGTAGAAATGGTAACAGTTTACCAACTGCTCATTGAAACCACACTATGGAGACCATAGTTTCAGTGACTCATAAACAGGACATATAGTCATATGTTGAGATACAAAGTGATTTAGTCCATGTTTTTCTCCTTTATTATATAATCTTATACTTCACTTTACCAATAGTTTTACCAAGTATTCTTTATTTTTTAATTTTAATTTTTTGTTATCTATGCTGTACAGAGGGGTGGCAGTCACATGAGTAAGGCGATGAGTCCATTACTTGTCAATCATTGTTACCCCTTCCCTTGTTCTCCCACTATGACCAAATATTCTAAGAGTTAGGAAGATAGTCCTTGATGTCTATCTACAGTCTTTCTCTAGTTTTGTATTAGAACAAGAATCTACTAGCTTGACCAGGAGATGTCTAGAAAATACATTAGTTTTTGTAGAAAACTAAGGATCATTGAAGAAGCTAACTGTAAAAAAAAACTTTCCTAACTTGGGAAAATGTGGAATTAGGAGATGTGTGTACATATATCAAGTGTCTACTCATGCTCAGATTTGCCAAGTATCTTCTTTCAGACTTTGCTGAATTGCTAAGGATGATTGTGGTTGCTATGTTTACTATCTCTATGCCAAGATGCTAAGTACTTTGCTACAACTTACCACTTAAGATTTGAGTTTCAACTCTTCTACCCCATGTCTATTGTTGCTTGTGGCTCAGTAATGTTTTCATGGTGCCAAATTAATAACGTCCAGACCATCCTCCTCCCATGACCCTCCTGCTCTTCCTTTTCCTCTACAACTCTTCGTATTTTCCCTAGAATTATTTCTCTTTCTCTCTGCTAGAGTATTAAACATCATGAGGATCTGGATTTTAATGTGTTTACAGTTGTGAGTCCCCAGTGCCTACAACAATTCCAGGCATGACTGACTCTTGATAAATATCCACTGGATGGATATTTGAATGAATGAGTGAATGAATGAAAAGTCACTCAGCTTGTTAAATGATACAGCCTGAAATTTAACCCATCTGACACAGAAACCATGCATTTGTCCACAGCTGTTCCATGGTGCTGTTGGAATCCTAGAATTATTTATATTTCTATTATTCATTACCAGGAAATTCAGATTTTATTCTTTCCAAAGAAACGTGGTCAGGGTTGGCTGGAATGTATGCTCTATTCCTAGTTGTTTTCTCATATAGTATTGGATGGAGGAGGGCAAGTAGACAATATTCTTTCTAATGTAATACAATATAAATTAAAATTCATTAAGAACAGCCCAGGAAATAAAGTCTTGACTTTCAGATATTATAATTCCAGCAGAAACTAAAAGAGCATTTCCTTGATTTCTTATGGACTCTGTTAACTATTGCTGCGGATCAACACAGAGTGAATACCGCATCTCTAAAGTGCATGTGAGCAGGTAAATGGCCTTCTCAATTGCTGACCTGCTTCCCAGCTGAAAGAAGCCCCTCATTTTTAGCTGCAGACTGGCAGATAACACCATGATTTTGGATAAGCAGGGTAGGACAGCACACCTTATCCTACGATGCAAACATGGTTCAGTGTTCAAATTCAAATTTGCTTCTCTATTTTAAGAGCACTTAAGCCCATACTAAAGGCTTATGAACAAAAAAAAAATCAGAAACTAGAATAAAGCAATCTCAAGAATATAGTTTTTTTTTAAATCATGCTGTTTTAAAGTCAAAACCTTTGACAAATGATACTCCTATGTTGTCAACATTTATAATGCACACTGACAATATTCTAAGAAGTCAAAAAAAATCTCAATTTGTAAGGGTCCTTGACTTATAGAATTTTTCCCTGTCTTAATCCACCTGACCAACTGTGGGTGTGACCCCTCTCCTGAGGCACCCCTCACCTGGGGCTTTACTAAATGGTGGCTCTTAGTCATTTGTGTTTTTCTCTTGGATATTTGGAACTTAGAGACTGATGATGACATAGGCCCTAGAAAGTCCCCTATCTCCCACGTCTGAATCAGACATACTCCTGTTTAGTCTACACCCTGTTTTGTTGTTCAGTCTACTGGTTTTTAAGTTTCCCAGTGATTTTTAGACTTGTTAAAAATATTTTTAGTACTAACTCAAGCTCATTGTTTTAAAGGAGGTGGGAAGAGACCACAAATCATTTCCGTAGTGATAACCAGAAGGTCTGGCTTTCATGTGAACCGTGCACAACCTGATAAGGCTTGTGTTGACAAGCCGTTTGCCAATTCATCACTGTGCGGTGACGTGTAGGGCGGCTGTCTGAAATCACCTCCGTGAACAACACTCTACACACAGTTCAGTTATTCTCTTAGGGATCAATGTCTATTTTAATCTTGGAAGGAATTTTTCTTGTGCTCAACTGAGAAAATAACATAGCATGTAATATCATGTTTTCACGAGCTTTTCTGTGTTTTCTTTCTTCTAGGCTGTTTATGCTTCCATATGGAACAAGAAACCGAAGAAAAGTAAAGCTGTTTGGATAATAAGCATTATTTTTAAGTTGAGAAACAGTGGCATTTGTTTTTGTTTCTCATTAAAGTATTTCTCTTAGGGAAAGGTTATATTGTATATAACAATTCCATGAAAAAGAGTCTTACCCTGTAGTTTATTTCCATAATGACTGCCTTGCTATCCTGCATAGCTGATGTGCAGGTAATTTTCATTGATTTGGGATCTAAAAAGGTCCCTTATTTTCTAGATAGCTTGGGTTGGCTCTGAACTCATGGTCTTCCTGCTTCAGCCCCCAGTGTGCTGAGATTAGAAACAGATGTCATTATGCCACTCTAAATGTTAAAAGGGTAACACTGTTTTAAAATATATGAAAATCTTTTTCTTTGTTTCCTAAATGGTAGGATTTAAGTAATACTCACATATAACTGAGACAAACTATTTACATAAAGTATAAGTACAAAACTAAAATACATTTTTCAAATATATGAAAATCTTTTAGAACAGGTAGCCTGTCTGATTTTTTGTTAGTCATGGCGGGGGAGGAGGAGCAAACTGTTAACATTTCTACACGTTTACAATACATCCCAAACAATCTCAACCCCTCTATCATTCTCCTTTCTTCTCTTCCTCTCTTCTCAAAACAATTTCAAGAGGTTTCACTGTTCTGTTTCCAAAGATACAATCTACTTCATCTCGTAGACATATTTGATTATTTTCCCCACTTTCAAACATTGAATCAATTGTTATTCAATAAGCCTTGCCTTTAAACTTCAAGGACTTTTTGTTTATTATTTAAGGAGATTTCAGAGGAGTATAAAAACTTATTGGCAGAAACAAATACTTTCCAATAAACTACATTCTGTCAGCTTAATAGATGAATAAAATTTTGGATAATTTTCATTTAATATCAAAATTAAATATTGTTTCACATAGAAGAGGCTTAAAATAAATTGCTGTTTTGTACTGCTCATTGAGACCAAATCTAACCTTAAATTCACTCTAAACAGTTATAAGAATATATTGCTTGGCATACCTCCTCTATAATAACAATAAAAAAAGTAAAAAAGAATATGTTGGCTGCATTTTGGATAAAAGAATAATAAATTTCCTTTAAGTTATTCCCTTTGTTTCATAGGCTTTTTTGGTTTTCCCTAAGATCTTGGCCATACTAGATTACATTATTTGATCCAATTTTGTGATGCTCTTTTTCTACTCAAAATCTGCAATCATGCTCTTTTTCTTTGTCTTAAGTATGTTCTTGATCAGGATTAATTTTCACTTAAACGAGTTTGCATTTCCAACCACTTATTTAAACCAGCCCATTAAATTTGAAGGGCATGGAAAATATTGCTCTACCTAGTGACATCATCAGAGGGCCAAAGATAACAAACAGGATTTTATGATATTGAGTACATCAAATTCCAAAGTGAATAATGTCCTGCAGTGAAGAGCTCTAAAACAGCACCTCTGCACTGGATGAGGGATGTGGGGGCCTCAGCTTTTCCATCACAGGAACTTGAGATCCACAGTGGGAAGCACTTCCAGGAGGCTGTCAAAAATTCTGCCCTAGGATCCCACTCCCCCAACACATCCAAGGCTTTAAGCTTGGATCTGTGCTGTTCCACAGCCCTCCACAAAATCAGCATTTCCCTCTGGAACCACTCTGGAGAGAATAGAGTTGAGACCGTGGTAGGCTATCAGCATTATGGAAGCAGGACCCATTGCCTTTTTATGGTTATGGAAGTATCATCTAGATAGTCTACTAGATATTCTTATTATGAAAAAGTCCAAGTAGCTGCTTTCTTACAAAAGGAAGACGACATTTTTTTTCCCCAGTGAAATGAAAAAGCTACTGCTCCCTGCCTTCCCACGGAACCCATAAATATGCTGACACTGTTTATTTTGCCAGATGGGTGTCAAGACCCCGTTGAAACCAGAGATGCCCTCATTCTGCATTTCCCTAAAATTCTGCCACAAAACCACACTTGGGAGGAAAGAAGAAAAAAAAAAGTGGCCATGCAAGCATATTTACCTTTAACTGCCTAGAAGCAGAAACACATCCATACATGATGACTCACCACTACAGGCCTATAAAAGTGAAGGGATTTGCTATGGAAAGGCAAGTCTTGGGCAGCACAGCCATACAAGATGCGTCCAGGTGTCCTGGCTGCCTTCTTCTTCCTGAGCTGGGCTCACTGTCGGTCCCTGCCCCTTCCCAGTGGGGATGATGACAGTGACTTGTCTGAGGAAGATCTCCAGTTTGCAGAGGTAAAGCACCCTGCCACCCTGGAAACGGAGACCATCTCTTAGATTCCCTTTTCTTTTAAAAGTAGGTGACCTGGGTCTCTTTTCTAGCACTACCTGAAATCATACTACCATCCTCGGAATCTTGCGGGAATCCTGAAGAAGTCGGCTGCCGGTTCCATGGTGGAGAGGCTCCGAGAAATGCAGTCATTCTTTGGGTTGGAGGTGACAGGCCAGCTTGATGATAATACCTTAGATGTCATGAAAAAACCAAGATGCGGGGTCCCTGATGTGGGTGAATACAATGTTTTCCCTCGAACTCTCAAGTGGTCCAACATGAATCTAACCTACAGGTAAATCATAGACTGTATTTTCTTAGTATTCGTTAGTTTTGTTCTTCTAATCCTAAGTGTCTGATAGCAATTGGAAATAGCTTCAACACTGTTGTTGCGGTGGCCTTATAACATCTATTACTGTAATACCAACCCAACAGTATCTTTCAGTGGACAAATCAAATACTCCCTTTAGAAATAGAAAGTAAATAGGAGTAAAAGTAGATTCAAGAAACTCTGAAACTACATCAGTCATATTTATCATATAAATGCTGAGAGGGAGCACTTTTTCTAGAATATCTACAGGGCTCTTTCACTTAATTTTGCTGTATCAATATAATCCCAAATTTCTAGCATGCATCTGAATATTTCACATTTAAGCTGCCACATGGACAGTATTTGGAGATGCTTAAACATTTTATTGAATTTTAGGCTTTTTCTCCTAGTATGACAACATAATTAATTAAACCTACCTTATAAAGAAGCTTTACTTTCACTTAGAAAGTAATATTCCAGGAAAGCATATTCTAAAATAGCTTCCATCTTCCCAAGTTTAATTGAGACTTTCTCTGCTGAACAGAATTGTGAATTATACTCCAGATATGACTCATTCAGAAGTAGAAAAGTCCTTCAAAAAAGCCTTCAAAGTGTGGTCCGATGTCACCCCTTTGAATTTCACCAGAATCCACGACGGCACAGCTGATATCATGATCTCTTTTGGAACTAAAGGTAATGATGAAGAATCATTTGGGAAGCATTTTTACTGGTTCCATTTCTATTTCTTTTGTCATTCTTCACTTTTATAGCATTCAGCAAAACGTTGCCAACCCCTTGAGACAGATACCACTTACTGAAGATATCCGAATCTATTCTTTGCTTTTATGTGTAGAACACGGCGACTTCTACCCATTTGATGGGCCCTCTGGTCTGCTGGCTCACGCTTTTCCTCCTGGACCAAATTATGGAGGAGATGCCCATTTTGATGATGACGAAACCTGGACAAGTAGTTCCAAAGGTAACATAATCATCTAAGCCACAACCTAGCTACATACAACCCATGTGATTTCACTGAAGGTCATTTCTGTCACCTGCCTGGGAATAGAAAGAGAAAAAGCAGGACTCCTATTCTCTTCACAATAAATCCTTGACTACTAATTAGATGAGAGCGATCTGTTGACATTACTGAGGGCAAGTGACTAATGGTATAGGCAATTATAACCAGAAAGTGATAAAACATTGACAAGGATTGAAGCAGTCATTTGAATCTTACTTAGCAACTGATTATTAATTTTAAAAGCTGAGTAAGAGAATGAGAAAGAGAAAAGTGAGTTGCAGAAAATAATCATTCTTCCATTGCCTGTCCTTGGTGCAGTTTGCTCACTCTCGCCTGGTTCTCTTGCAGGCTACAACCTGTTCCTGGTTGCTGCCCATGAGTTTGGCCACTCCTTAGGGCTGGACCACTCCAAGGACCCCGGGGCACTTATGTTCCCCATCTACACCTATACTGGCAAGAACCACTTCATGCTCCCCGAGGACGATGTGCAAGGCATCCAGTCTCTCTACGGTAACTCTTAATTGATCATTTTATAAACAAAATGTACACCAGAAAATGGATACTTGAAAGGGGCGGGGCAGGCTCGAGAGGAGTGGGGTAGATGAATGAAGAGAAGAAGGGAAATGCAGTCAAGAATCCAATGTTTAGCCTACAAAATTAAGAAGAGCGAGGAAAGGGGTTGGGAGGGATAGGTGGGAACGCTGAAAGGGGTGACATTGAACAAGGCTGCTTTGTGAATGACAACTCCTCTGTGCAACTACTGGAAGATAATAATAAAAATAGTAGGATAAGCAGAGTAGATACTTACATTGACTATCTAAATTACTACTGAACTTACCATTCCCAATAATGCTGTCATTGACAATACTTTCTTTCCAAATCAAACTACTTATTCAAGTAGTGTATAGCCCACCTGTTTAAGATGTGACTCTTCCTATTTGTATTTTATTCATTGCAATATATACTCATAAGAAAGGAAGCTACTTTATTCCTCCTTTAACCAATTAACCAAATAAGCCATATTTAGCTAGAGTACAGCAATTTATTTATTTATTTGCCTGGGGCTTGAACTCAGGGTCTGAGCCTCTTTGTGCTCAAGGCTAGCACTTGAGCCACTTGAACCACAACACCGCTTCTGGCTTTTTCTGAGTGGTTTATTGGAGGTCAGAGTCTCACAGACACAGCTGCCTGCACTGGCTTCAAACTGTAATCCTCAAACCTCAGCTTCCTGAGTGGCTAGGAATAGAGGAGGGAGCCAATGGCAACTGGCCACGAGTATACTATGTAGTAGTGAACTCTAATACTGCATAAACTCAGGCAACACAGTTTATGGAAAAAGCAGGATTTTTGAGCAGCTTTCTAAATTCTGGGTATTCTTTCACCACTCCAATTTGCCCTAGAAATTACTCATGTGGCCTTTGCAATTGTTAAATAATATCTACAGTGACCGTGTAAGAAACGCTTCTTTTTTTCTTCCACATTTTTAATAACATTTCAAAATAATTAAACCTCAAAGCAGACATTACTTACGGCCCACTTGCTACAAAGAGCAGTGAGTGGCCCAGTCAGCAGCGTGGCCATATCTGGAGGAATGCGGCCGGCCGGCCTGCCCCCATCACCTCAACCCAGCGCTTCTCCCTCTGACTTAAATCTGCCATCATAACCAGTATAAGTAAGGGCAGGAATGGGGAGGCAACCCAGGAAATGGTTGAGTTGATTTTAAGATTCTTACTTCTGCTCTGCTGAGACCGAGGGGCTGAAGACAGACAGAGGTAACAAAGCCGTGCTGGGCCACTACTGCCCACACACCCTGCCTGCCTGTGGAAAAGCTGCAGACACGTGACCAGTCACTCAGAGGTGCTGGGGGGGGCAGGCTTGACACAGAGACGCAGCTGCCGAACAGCAACCTGGTGACACAACATCATCTGATGTTGATGGCTGTCAATCTAGAAAGGAGTGAAGACAGGGCTACCACAGGGCCTGGGTGCCATCAGCCATGGCTTAAAAGGGAGCATGAACCTCCAAGGTAGCCATGCGACTCAAGGGGGAAATGTTCTCAGTCTTTTGCTTTACCTTTCTGTCTCTATCATCTACCTAAAGAAATCTAAATTTATAGTTCAGAAGAATCTAAAGGGTCCTAAAGGATGAGGGCAGAGTGTAGTCCCCTGTGGGACACAGGTAGCTGGAGGAAGGCATTAGGGCTAGCAGGTATCTGTGCATCCTCGGGGCTCCATGTCCTCCCTTGAGACCACCCATCCCTGACCCAGTCACCAGAAAGACCATCCTCAGTAACTTCCCAATTCTTTCATCACTGCAGGCCCAGGTGATGAAGACCCCAACCCTAAACACCCCAAAACACCTGACAAGTGTGACCCTGCCTTGTCCCTTGATGCCATCACCAGTCTCCGAGGAGAGACAATGATCTTCAAAGACAGGTACTGAGACGCCGTCGCCAGCTTTGCACATGACAAGCATTAGCTCTATCTGCCGAACTATCCAAACTTTAAGAGACTTCTTGGAGAGTTTATTTGCATATTTCAGACATCCTGATGGGTTGACATGTACACAGTGGCTGTTCTTAACATTGTGCAGCTTATAGGTTGTTTCTTGTAAAAATAAAATTGGCAAATTAAAATTAGAAATTCTATTTCTCTGAAAACCAAATATGAAAGAAATCACGAAATGATTAATTTCGTGAGTTCTTTTGGTTTGGAAAAACTGATTCTGGATGTATATGTTGGAATTTGAGGGGGAAAAAAGAGTACTTTCAACCTAAATTTGAAGATAAAAGTTAAGTCGTAATTTTCACTTAGCATGCTTTTTCTTTATCTGTTCATCTGCACATTCATTCATTTGTTCTTCCCTCATTTGAGACCCATCAGCACTGCCACCATTTTGATTATTCAACAGTACATTTTACTCTTGGTGCCCCAGGCCATGGGATCCTGGATGACACTGTTTATGAAATTCGTCTTTTCTTTCTAGAGTCCAATGCTAAAGCTTGCCACATTTGCTTGCCATGTGCAAGATAGCAAAATTGAATAAAGCCTGCTCTCTACCCACAGAACATTGATAGCCTTCCCTCAGCCCTATGATATTTCAAATGTGAATGCCTTAAGTGAGAGTTAGAGCTCTGACTCAAAACTGACACTTGAGAATTCCCCCATAGCTATGCTGATGTGGGCTGAGCTCCCCCTCTGGCAGGGTAGAAGTATTACACTAAATGCCATCGCAAACTGTACATTTTTACTCTTGCCCTAGATTCTTCTGGCGTCTACACCCTCAGCAGGTTGACGCAGAGCTGTTTTTGACAAAATCATTTTGGCCAGAACTTCCTAACCGTGTCGATGCTGCATATGAGCATCCCTCACGTGACCTTATCTTCATCTTTAGAGGTAAGCCTTCCCGGGTAAGACTTCGCACAGGCCAGGGGAGGCAGCGATGAACTTGGGTTACCAGTGACTTAGCAAAATGATTGACACTAAAAAATTACCTACATGAAGAAGCAAGTGTAACCAATGAAGAGCAGAAAGCATCTGAAACCATTCTACAAAGGTTCCTAAATTTGTGATGTTAAGACCCACAGGTTATTATCCATCATATCCATTCTTTACTCACAGCCAACATTTAAGTTCTTTTCTCCTACATCTTCAAAAAAATTGTTGAGAAAATTTAACAATGTGCTTTGTCAGGGAAGGGGGGAAATATTAATCCTAACTCCCTCTCTGTACATAAATTTATTTCATTTCTAACTTTTTTCTTCTAGTTCTTCACCGTATTTTTACATAAAATTATAGAACATTTCCAAATTGTTGCTCTATACCTATGGCTATAATTTGATGCTAGTTTTGCGTAACATTCTACCGATGCTATTTCTATTGACTATTATTTAACGTTACAGCTATTTCTATTGACTATTATTTAATGTTACAACAAAGTTACCTTTGAATGGAGGAAATAACATTCTGATTGGTATAAAGTTTGAGTTTTAATCTAATTTATTTTTCCCACAGTGCTGTTTCTTCATGTATTTTCAATACAGCTACAAACAGTATTTGCAGGCAATAAGTTGCCAAATTGTCATATTTGTTTGTATATAATCATAATTAGAAAGTTTGTATCTTATTCTTTTTTGTGCTTGAAGAATGTTCAAATTTCTATGTTTCATAAACATGGATTTTTTTTTTTTTTTTGGTCAGTTATGGGGCTTGAACTCTGGGCCTGGGCACTGTCCCTCAGCTCTTGAGCTTAAGGCTAGTGCTCTGTCAGTTGAGCCACAGCGCCACTTCTGGTTTTCTGAGTGGTTAATTGGAGATAAGAGTCTCACGGAGTTTTCTGCCTGGGCTGGCTTTGAACTGTGATCCTCAGATCTCAGCCTCCTGAGTAGCTAGGATTACAGGCGTGAGCCACCGGCACCTGGCCTAAACATGGAAATTTTAAGTGGACACTAAATAGTCCATTTCTTAGAAATGTTTAAGGTAATACCTACATTCATGAACCCTAAGCCTCAAGGATCATAAACCTGTTCTTTCACTTATCCTAGGTAGAAAATTTTGGGCTCTTAATGGTTATGACATTCTGGAAGGCTATCCCCAAAAAATATCAGAACTTGGATTTCCAAAAGAGGTTAAGAAGATAAGTGCTGCAGTTCATTTTGAGGATACAGGCAAAACTCTCTTTTTCTCTGGAAACCAGGTCTGGAGGTATGGCAGTACTACTCTAAATTAATATCCACTCTAAATTATTGTATCACAGGTTATTTATGGTCCCTATCAACTCCTTTGGGAACCTCTCAGGCATGTATTATTTTAAAGAAATCTCAAGCCCTCTTGAAAACATGCATACACACATACACACATCCCTGTATATATCATCCTTGCCTTTTGATTTTTCATTTATGACAATGACATGACTCTGTCTAAAGAGGACTGACAACTGTGTCTGGTACTACATTTTGTGCCCTGTACTCCATGAGCAGTACATGCGTCGCTCAGGACAGATCGCACACCATAGCTCAAACACTCAGTGCTTCTACATCCCTTCAACTTGTGAGGACATTTTCTTTGTTGGCTTTCCATGCATCTCTATCAAAAGTCTACCTACTGAAGTTACATTTCAAAAACATAGTCTTTCCTAATCACCTCATTCAGAAGTCATTGCCTTGTGTTCTGTCCTCCCGTGACATTTTCTGTCTACTCTCTTGTGATACTTAGCTTCTAAGACCTAAAGTTGCAGTTATGTACTATACATGTCCAAGATATTACCCTCTTACTTATTGAAATACAACTAAAGGATTCAGGAATCTTCTCATCAGTGACTGTAGACGCTTAGAGAAGAGAGCTTCTTCTCCTAGGTTAATTTCAGGATGTGTTTTGTTGACCAGGTATGACATGAGCAGGGAAGAAGAAATATGAGATAATCTGTTATAGAAAGATATAATTACATACTCTTTTGACTTTTGCTACAGAAATTAAACCTTGAATATTTCTGTATCCATTACTGTATTTAGCAAGTAGGAGATCAAAGGATAAGCACAGAATACATATTTATTACACCATAAAACACCTTCCTAATATATTCCTGATATATTTTAGTAACAGATAAATAATTGGTGAACTGGAAATGAGCTTATGACTATCTTCATGCATATGACCTTTAAGTGAGTCAACAAAGACTAACCAAGCATCAGTGTTGTAATTCCTCTTGTTAAAGAGCTACAAAATGGTAAAACTCTCACCAATTTTGAAAGGTGCCACAACATCCATTGCATTGTTTTTCATTAGTATGTACTAGTTGTACAAAGGTGTTTCCTTTGGTATTTCCATACACGTATATGCTGTGTTTTTTTTCAAACTCACCTCTTCTATTACACACATTACTTACTACATTCCCCAAACTGGCCTCAGTCTCCTAAGCCCAAGTAATTCTTCCACTTCAGCCTGCCCAGTAGCTGGGATTACAAGGTAAACACTATTGTGGCTTAATCATTTCTTTTCCTCATTAAACAGTTATGATGACATTAATCATATTATGGATAAAGACTATCCCAGATTGATAGAAGAAGAGTTCCCAGGAATTGGTGATAAAGTAGATGCTGTTTATGAGAAAAACGGTAAGTATTTACATTGCATTGATTCTCAAACAGATGTTCTTTGGTCTCAAAAAACTTTTCCCTATTTTAATGATGGATCTAGAATGCACTAATAACTATTGGGCAGCTAAGAGACTAATCATCAAATGTTACAGGATAATATCCAGTATACAGACAGCATGCAAAAAATAACCTGCTTAGAATAAATGAGAATTTTACTTAGTTAACACTTCTGTGAATAAGGGATACTAGGTGTTACATGGTAGGTAAAATTACTCATAAAAATGTCAGGTTGCAAAAGATATTTCCAGAATTCAAACTAAAGTCAGGTGCAGCATGATTTATATATAAGTAAGCACCATAGCTAAATAAAAACACATCACCCATAATTTACAACAAATAATTAATATCAATTTTTTTTCTTCAAAACTGGAATGTATGAAAAGACAATTCTAAGCAACTTAAGACTTCTCAGAATCTTTATCCCTCTTTGTCTCTTCTTTCAAACTCCAAATAGCACATTTAAGCTTTAGTAGGGCAATGGTTGGAATGTTAAAAATAAATGAAATCCTACAGATGGGATGCTTAGTATTTGCTGTAGGAAAACCTCAGTATTTTCTAGCTCTGACATGCTCCCCATGTCTTTTATCCTCTAGGTTATATCTATTTTTTCAATGGACCCATACAGTTTGAATACAGCATCTGGAGTAACCGTGTGGTCCGTGTCATGCCAACAAATTCCCTACTGTGGTGTTAAGTGTCTTTTAAAAATTATTTAAACTCTGGAGAACATTTGGGTGGGGTGGGGTGGGGTGGGGTGAGGTGGGAGAGGAGATGTACTGGGGGAAGGCTTAGCTCTGTGAGCAAGCTGCAGTAAGTTATCTTTGAGCAACTGTGAGGACTGTGGCTGGAACCACAGTGAGTAGTTTTACAGTAATGAAACAGTCCATCCAAGGATCACTGGCTGGCGTATGTGACAGCCTAGCCATCACTGATGATATTGCCCACAGTGAAAATGGCATACATAATTTGTTGATGATGGCACACTTATAAAATATATGTATAAGGAAACTTAGGAAGGCGTTCGTGTACATCCCATTTATATAATTCTGAATTGTCTTTGCTAAAAACCAGTATGAACTCACATAAACATGGGAGCATAGGGTAGTGCTGTGTGACTTTCAAGTAAAGGGAACTACCTGACACAGATAGATTGCAGACAACTTCCCCAAGAAGCACTTTGTACTGAGACTCTTGTACTGAGAACATAGCATGTGTATACGCCCCAATTCACACAAATACTAAGAAAATACCAAGTCACTAAAGAAAGGAAATACACTGATGAGAAAAAGGAGGTGTGGGTTTGGAGCCTGGTTATCACTTTCAAAGACCGCCTTCAAGTAAGACAAATATTTCTTTTGCTTATTGACAAAAGATAAGGAAGAGATCTCTTTTTATTAAAATATCTCATGTCTCTGAAAAGTCATACAGTAGAAAAATGTTGTAAAAATCTAGCAAATTGCATCACTTTTTTTTCCTAAACCATTGATTTGTTCACAGTAATGTTTCAATGTTATTTTATGGACCTAATCATTGTAATAGATAAGCTATTTTTCCAAAGATTTGTTGCAGTAGGAAATAAAAGTTATTTTATAAATTGGAAGTATATATGCCAAAACGGACATCCAAAATGAAGAAAATAGTCTACCAGGTTGTAATCCTCCTGAGAAGTTGGGCAATGCCTTGGACGGACACTTGGCATTTACTGGATCTGTGAATGGAAACCAAAGGAAGAGCTCTTGTGCTGAGAGATCTTAGCCATAAAAACTCAGGCAAAGAAAACTAAGTGTTTATCTGAAAGTATTTCTGTTACTTCTAATAAAAGATATTTTTCAACAGACATTGTTACATGGTACATTTTATCTTTATGCATAATTTCAAACTCTCTTCATACACATTCCTTTTCCCCTTCTTTCATTCCATCCTTTCTTTCCTTCTTTCCTTTATTTTCTTTCCTTTCTTTTCTTTTTCCCTCCCTCTGCCCCTCCCTCCTTCCTTTGTATTTTCCTTCTTTCCTGCCTTTCTTCTTTTTCCCTTCTCCTTTCTCTTCCTCCCTTTCTTCTTCCCTCTCCTCTAAACTTAGAATTAAACGTACCAGGAGATATCAACAAAATGTCCAGCCTAGTACTGAAAAGACCTTCTTTCTGGGGCAGCTCCATATATGGAGGCCACTGTCTCCTTGGAATCCTTCCTGCATGAAGTACTATTTGTTCATAAGGGGAATGAGCAAAAGACCTGATTCTCAGGAAGAATGAATTCCAGATCTTACTCTTCCTTGCACTCTGCACCAGACACACACCTATATAGATACAGATATAATATATAAATACACACAGTCGGGATTCATTCTGACCGCTGGCTCTGCTGCACTCTCAGTTACACATTCCCAATTGAACTGACGTTGCCTGGACTCGTGCCCTACAACTGTGGCCAAAACATCATTTGGAAATTATGCCAAGATGTCTACTTGGAAGTTCATAGTGGAAGATGAGGGGATTTAAAGGGAGCTTCTCATGAGTTGAGCAGATGATCCTAATAGAATCTTCTATGAAATGAATTACAGATAAAATACAGATAACCTATTCCCACAAGTATTCCAGAATGGAGTTTGGAAGCCAAATAAGAATTTTATGAGAAGTAAGAGCTAATATCATGGGCAAAGGCACTGAATTTGAACCAACTGCAGCTAGTAATGGTCTCTTCATAGACAGTGAGGTTTAAAAGTTATAAAACTCATCAAAGTTTACCAATAGTCAGATTGAATTTGAAATAGGAGAAACTGACAAGATCTTATATGCTATAGCAAATTTTGCCATTGTAATGATCTGAGAGAACATTTGTGTTCCATTAAAAATATTATGCTGATCTCTTAATGCAGGCAGAATAAAAACAACAAAGCATAAGGAACAGATCTTCTAGAAAGACAGCCTCCACCACTTAAACCTTGGGCACAGAAAACATTCTTCTTTTTCAGGATTCATGACAATGTTGTAGGGTTGGAAGTTCCACTAGGTGGCAGCAGAAATACTCTTTATGAATATCAAACTGCTCAATTAATTTGAATAGTTCACGGACCCGGTGCTTTGTTTCTTAATGTAAGAAAGAGGAACTTGGCCAAATGCTGGCTATGATTCCTGACTTTCTGTCTTTGACTTTCAATAAGGTTAACAGGTGTCATGAATTGAAGAACAGTTTGTTCCAGTTTTGCTAATCACACATGTGTTCCTGTCACTTATGCCAGAATCAGGATGGTATTCATGAGAAGCTACGGAGATCTGTGCTGCACCCTGAGGTGAGGTTTTGAGTCATCACAGCCCTTGGAGTGACAGGGTTCAAAGTGAATCACAAACCGCACAAAGCACACACATACACACACAGAACCAGTGTCCCTAAAACCAAACCAAACTAGGACTTTTCCAGCCACAAGAGGAAGGAAGACAATTCCAATTACCAGGCATGATATATCTTGTTTCCCAGTTTAAAAAGAAAATGAATCGTTGTCCATTAACTGGAAACAATGTGGAGTTTCCAGGAAGAGGATGGTTACAGTTTCTGACGTTTCTTTCTCACATGGCTTAGATTTTCTAGTTTGCAGGACTTCACAACTGTGTGATATCCTGAAGTGTGTGAAATTTTTCTTCTCATGACTGAATGTGAATAAGTCAAACTCTACTACACAAATGCTATTTCAATTATACATATTCATATTCAAAATTAATTATAAAACTGGGCCCTGATGGCTCATGCCTGTAACCCTAGATACTCAGGAGGCTGAGATCTAAGGATCCTAGTTTGAACCCAGCCCACGCAGGAAAGTCTTTGAGACTCTTATCTCCTATTAACCATCAAAAAGCTGGAAGTGGCACTGTGGCTCAAGTAGTAGAATACTAGCCTTGAGAAGAAAAGCTCAAGGACAGTGTTCATGTTGTGAACTGGCACACACATGCATGCACACACACATGCATGTGTGCACGTACACACACACAGAGTGAATCATTTGCTTCCATTAATTTCCTGAACACTAGGGCATAAGGATAAGAGTAAAGAAGATTGAGGTTTGTCACCAATAGTGAACACAGAGAGGAGTCTTTGGGGCCAGTGAAGAAAAAAAGGTAGTTGTTTCAGAGAAAAGTGCAAAAGAAAACACCTAAATATGAAATGATGCCTGGTGGTGGTGGTGCTGATGGTGCTAGGTAATAAACCCAGGGCTTAGTGTGTGCTGAGCGTGTGCTCTAACATGAAGCTAACTTTCTAGCCCTGGAAAGATTAAAGTGATCGAGCACGGCTCCCTAGGAAGAAATGAGACTACAGCGAAGAAATCAGTGTCTCCACCATAACACAGACAAGGAACCATCTACAAACCATTGTGAACACCAATCTGTGATTAAATGCTTAGAAAAATCATGTCAACTTTCTGAGTTGTAAACTCAAAGAACTACTGGAGAATAATAATGACAAACATTTCTACTTTTCTACGTGCCAGAGCTGAGTGTTACACATGTCTGCCTTTTGTGAAGCCCGCCTGGCCACCCCCTGAGCCATCCTTACCAGAACAAATCCAGGCAAGGGGAGCTGGAACCTTACAAAATGGGAGCAAGTGGTTAATAAAGGATTATGATGATTATATATTTCACATGGTTGTGGGATATAGCTGAAGGTCTGTTTGAGGCAATAGTTTATCTTCAGCCGATATCTTATTTGGGACAACATAAAACTATATACTTCTTGAGAAAATAAATAGCCAAGGAGAAAAGCCCATAGCCTCTTGGTGGTAAGGAAGACTAGCTAGTCTTCAGGAATCTGTCTCAAGGAAAGGCATGAACCAAGTGCACTAACAAAGGCACTGTCCTGGGGGGTGAGAGGGTGGAAATGTAGAAATCCTGCTGGATGCTCAGGTGAGCAGGCCCATCCCTTTCCTAAACCTGCTTTTCCTGTGCTTGCACAATGGGCCAGGCCTTAGGATACAGTCAGCGGAAACACAAAGTAGTCATTTTTTTTCCAATCATATGACTGATTTCATTTCTACATCAGTATGAGGTGTCATGTAGTACTGAAACACACCAGATCCTTGGAGCCTTCATCCATTGTTTCAAAACCATACTGGGTGAACGTAGTCATTCCTGGGGCCAAGCAGGGACATAGTCACACCCTTAGGTGACAGAATTACAGGTGTGTCTCCTGTTACCTAAAGGAGACACTAGCTTCTCTTCCCATTTCTAACCTCTTCAGTGACAGTTTATTCTACAAATTCCCCAGTCCCAATCTCTCTGCCTTTCAAAAGGAAGAAGATAATTTAAGGTATTCCCTCCGGAGGTATAATCATTGATGATGATTACTTAGTGAAGAATAATTAAGAGTTTGGACCCCGAGGGTAAAAACACACCCTGTAGAAGTAGTTTTATAGCAGCTGAGGGCCTGTTACTGAACATGAAATCATGAGAATCAGGTTGAGTCACGCTTGAGGGGCTCTGGGTTTATGCCCTGGCTAATTCTCAGAGTTGATGTTCTCGGGATTCTGGCAAGCAAGCTACTACGGATAAAACTCTTACCCAGATGTCTTAAATCAAATTTCCCTCTGTTTGGGTTTTCACTCATTGCTTCTTCATTCGCTAAGCAGAGGAATACTGTATAAAGCAGAATAATCAGCTTCTCGAAATTGTCGGTGCAGTCTTCAGGGTGGAACCATAATTAGGTTTAGATTTAAAACTGGGTCAAGCCACCCAAGTGGGAAG